TTGAAACTATACAAATTCAGACATGAAATGAGGCTTAAATTTTTAACAGTGAGGGTTACTAGCCATTGGAACAATTTAACAAGGGTCATGGTGCATTCTGGATCATGGACAATTTTCAGATTGGGGTTTAGCTGATTTTCGAAAAGATATCATCTAGAAATTATTTTAGTGAGTTCTATAGTCTGTTATTCAGGAGGTCAGACTAGATAAACACAGTGGTCCCTTCTGTACTTGACATCTATGAATCTATTGGCATCTCTCAAATTTCTCTGAATTTCAACCAGCTCCAATGCCTTCCAAACAACTGGCCTAAACATTTGACTGCTATGGCTAGGTGGAGTGATAGGGAGACAGAAGTGGGAATCACTTGCAGACTTTAGGTGCCACAGCCCCCCATGTTCCTGCTAATCCCCCAGAGTTGCTTGACTACATATTGAATAGGAAAGTGACCAGATGGAAACTTGCAGAACCACACATGAGCATTCTGTCAGAGGGAGAAAGCAGATATTCAATAGAAGACACTAGAACCATCCAAAAAATAGCTGTAGCTTCTTCCGGGCTCCAAAATAAAAGTTGGCAACACTTTGTATCGACAATCTCAGAGCTATCTGAAATCTAATAATAGTATGGAGATGAAATCTTTATCCTCAATTAAGAGATCATCTGCCAATGTAACTGGTGTTTCATATCTTGGTTGGTGCCAATATTGAAAAGAATTTAAGAGGTGTGAGGCCACCAGATATTTAGAGTTGCTTTTCAGTAACCTTAACCAGAAAATACACATGAGATATAATCTGGCCAGGTAAAACTGTCAAATGGTAGTTTCATCAGGAGATGTCATACTTCCTTATGAGACACCAGTAAGGGGCAATTTCTATTGATAAAGGACCCAGTTCTTTTGTACAAATCTTTCATTGGTCAATAAGAACATAGTTTCTGATTGGAAACTTCATCTTGTGAATTGTAAGATGAAGTTAAGCCTGACTAGGTAAAATACAGACAAAGAAGGCATAGAATATTTTTTTAATGTAGAACAACAAAACAACCTTAGGACTCTTCAGTTTTGGGAAGTCTCAGACAATACATTTTGTCTTTTGTTCCCATGTATAATCACAAGTGTATCTAATTTGAGTAGAGAACCACATTTCTACAAGTTAACTCTCTGTGGTTGGTGGAATGTTACCCGAGAGAAACTCTGTCCTGGAACTGAGAGCTACCAGGTGGTTTTATTTTTTTTCTACTACTAAGACACTATATTTAAGACAATGATGTGAAGACAGTCATGTGTTAAATCAACAAATAAGATGTTCAGTCCCAACACTTTTGCAAGGACTTAGTTCTATGGAACTGATACCTAGCTCATCAAGTGCACCTTACATTTGTACCCAGCAAGCACAGGTAATGCACTGAGAATACTGTGGGCACAGACTTCGGCGACAACATGACTAGTGGCTATGCTATGCTATGGAGATGGGACCAACATAGTTATGTTGGCATAAGTATGCTGCCTTAACATTGTAGCGTAGATACAACTTATATTAACAGAAGGGTTTTTTTAACATTCGTATGAAAACATCAACTCTCTAAGTGAAGTTAGCTACATTGGTGGAAGCAGTCTTCCATCAACACAGCTGCTTCTATGCCTATTTCAACCAAACTTTTAAGTTTAGAACATGTCTGGGTCTGGAATCAAACCGATAGATCTTCTGTTTAGGAAAAGCCATTTCTCCACAGCCCTCTTGGACTATGTCCTCATTTCTGATTTGTAGCAGGGCTGTATACAAATAGTTAAGCTGAAAGCACCACAATCTCCCATCTTCTTCCTAATTCTTTGCAGTTTTCCACTGATCCTATTGGTGATCAAAAATATGCCGGAAGATAGTAATTGCTCCAGCATCTAGATCAGGGTTTCTCAATCTGGGTACATCTAGACTGTGGGGATTTAACTCCGCCATGTCCAAGGAATGCATTTGCTCTTTCACCAAAAAAAAAAGCCGAAGAGCAAACGTGCTCTTTCGGGGAGCCCTTTGTACCTCGTTCTATGAGAAATAAGAGCTCCTTCGAAAGACAGGGCACCATCTAGAGTGGGCCAAATGGTGGAAAAGCCTCTTCCGGAAACTCAATTGGAAAAAGCTACATAAATTGCAGAGCGCAATTTGCATAGCTTTTTCCGAAAAAAAGTTATAGTGTAGACCTAGCCTCTAACTACTCTCTTCCAGCTAAGCAGTACACATCTACAGGCACTGTGACATCCTCAGTGCAATACAGGTAGTATATAGTGTGGATGTAGTGCACAATGGTGAATAGGTTAAGAACCACGGGTATATACTGTTTTTCTATATGAATTTTGTGGGATCCTCAATAACTCCTACTGATGTCATTGCACCTGCTGACTCCCAATCGGTAACTTCCACTTCATAGCCTGGATCCTTGGACATTGACTTTCTGATTTGGCATGCTCTGAAGTGCAAAAGATTCTGCTGGAATTTGAAATTTCACTTCACTATGGGTAGTGTATAACAACTTGCCTTCAAGCTCTGCTTATCTGTTACAAATTAATCTATAATCCAGGTATATCTGTGTGCTCTTTCAGTCTGTCATTCACCAATGGACAGTTCTAGAGGTCAGAGTTCATTATTTTCTTCTTCCCAAGCTCTAAGGGGTAAGGATTTTCAGATTAGTCTTAGGTTCAGTAGTACATCATAGAAGATTAATGCCTTTGTTTTTCTGAGGGTATTTTCCAGCATTTCAAACTGTTAAAATGACCCTTTGAATGTTTTTAAAATAAGTTTTTGCAAAGAGATATTGTCAATAAATTCTAGAATAAAAAAGTATGTGTGGAAAAGCAGGTGCTGGGTTTAAACTGAGTTATTTCCTCTTAGATAGTTTTATATTGTAGGTGCCTATAGGTATGTTACTCACATGATTTTTCTACCATAGCACCTTCTCTGAATACATTTTAAAATAAGGTAATTTTTGCAGTGCACCTTGTTTCAAACATCCATGATACTGAGTGGAAGGTCTTTCCAAGCTAAGGATATTGAACGCGATCATGCTACTGGCATAATATTGCTTATTTATAATAGTTTTATATATTTGTTTTAATTTTTGAAGGCACACTAAGGGTTGTTAAGTTATTAAAATTACCTTAACTTGATATTAACCGTTTTTTGGATTTACTGTAAGGATTCTAGTACTTTTAAAATAATACTTTGTCAAAGCAATGAAGATGTGTATCCTGTTGTAAGCCAGTGCGTTTGAGAGAATATCTACTTCTGTTTCCAATGAACAGTAAACCAGTTTGGGACCTTGTTCTGAAATATACAGGGCAACTGTCAATGTATGTTAATCTTAAATCCTAACTATCTTGACAGTGTCTCTCTAATTTTTTTCTTTACTTTTTTGCTATATAATGTGGTGATGCTTTGTGGCAGGCACCAGTTACACTACATATTGGGCATGACAGTATCCATTTTTCTCAAATATCCATTTCCTGATTTAACTATATGAAACCATGTTTTGTTTTTCTTAGCAACTGTAAGTGAAGGATGGATTTAGAACTTCTCAGTCCTCACTGTATAAAAACTTGCTATGGGAATCTGGGTGCAAAGTTTTTGAAACAAATGAGATTAATGATTTTCTTATTTTAAAGTGGAGATGTAGACTAGACCAAATTTATGCCTGGTTTAAATGAATGCAGATCCATTGACTTAAGCTTACTTACACCTTCTTATGCAAGTCCTGAATTCAACTCTTTAATTTCGTAGGTAAAAATGTATATTAGTGCCCAGTTGCCCAACAATAACATGGAGTCATTTGATCTAACACATGAAAATCAGATACATTATTTCATTATTAATGCTATCCTTTTTTCATATCTCCAATTTATACCATTTTTTCTATTTTTTTCCCCAGTATCTGTATATTTGATGTTGTGCTCTGTGGAGTACAAATGTTTTCCTTATTGTCTTTTCAAAATTTTCTTCTGCTTCTAATCCAATGTGTATCCTTCAGTTAAGACCTATTTTTTTCCATTGTTCAGCTTCTCCTGAAATAGAGCCATTTTCCCAGTGTGCTAAGTCAGTGTCTGAACTAGCATGTAATGTTTTTTATTTAGAAAACTGTTAGACAGGTCATCAGGTAGAAGCTACTTTTGAAGTCTAATGGGCCTTACTATCAGTGTAGGTGATAAGTTGTGCAACATTCTTAGACTGCTTTTTATCTTTACAAGAGAATGTTATTGTAAAAGTGTCAAAATATCCACATGCCCAGTTCACTAGTAAATATACAGGTAAGTTAAAACATTTTTGGTGATAGTTTAAACTACTCAGGGGACTATATTTCCAAAGAATGATGTATTTTAAAATGCATTGGTTTCTTTCATAGTAGGAAACTTAAATCTGTTGTATCTTAAACAAAATGCCTGTATTTCTTACATGTTTAAAATCATAGCAATTTTCAGTATGAACTAAATACTTGCCTTGGGCATATGTATACTGTATAAAATTGTCATAACATTAAAAAGAATTGTGTATGATTAGTTTATATACCAATCTCAATTGAATTATCTAAAATAACAGTATTGGTGATAATAAAAGAGAAGTTTGTTAAAGAGAAAAGCAAACAGAAGATAAAAATCTCATACTGTAAAAAAACTGCATAAATGGATCAAGGAATTTGACAGAAAGTTTAATGTGTACATAAGTAGAGGCTGACAGGAACATGCTGTGTGTGTCAAAGGTTCCAGTGATGGAAAACTGAAACATAGTGCTCACTGACCACAGCATGAGCCTTGACACACATTGTAAATAACCCAGAGATATATGACTGCATTAAGCAGTAAACTGAAGTATTAACAGCAGTAAATCTGCAACAACTGAAGTGGCTGGCATGCAGGACTTCCACTGATTAATATTTGTAACAGACTAATTAGGAATCTAACCAAGATTACGCATTATAATTCACTGTTATACTATATCAGAGTTTTCTTCTCCTTCCAGAGTCGTATATATAGATACTGGCCTTAATACCATCAAGCTAAAAGGAGAAGACTCTTGTGGCCGACAGCATCTAATCACACTGAAGTTAAATGCAAAGGTGAATTGATTTGGAGGAAAATACTTTAAGAAAATGAAACCAAAATGAATGGATTCCTATTTTATATTGAAGTTGATGAACTGGTTTCTTTCCAGGTTTTTTGTGCTTGTCCTTTTATCTTCATATGGTTTGAATAGTAAATATTGTTCTGAAAACTTTAAGACCACCTAAACTCTTACTGCAAAACAGTATAAATATCTTTCGTTAGAAAGTTGTTCACCCTTTTCAAAATCCTTGGCTGTATCTAGACTGGCCAGTTTTTTCGGAAAATCAGCTGTTTTTCCGGAAAACCTTCCAGCTGTCTACACTGGCCGCTTGAATTTCCGCAAAAAGCACTGATTTCTTACAGTAGGAAGTCAGTGCTTTTACTATGCTGCTCCCGTTCGGGCAAAAGTCCCTTTTGCGCAAAACTTTTGCGCAAAAGAGCCAGTGTAGACAGCTCAGATTTGTTTTCCACAAAAAAGCCCCAATTACGAAAATGGCGATCGGGGCTTTTTTGTGGAAAAGCGCATCTAGATTGGCCACAGACGCTTTTCCACAAAAAGTGCTTTTAGGGAAAAGCGTCCATGCCAATCTAGATGCTCTGTTCCGAAAATGCTTTTCACGGAAAACTTTTCTGTTAAAAGCATTTCTGGAAAATCATGCCAGTCTAGACGTAGCCCTTCTGTTACAGGCTAAGAACTAGTGCCATTTGGGAAATCTTCATTTTTTGAGTGCTTGGTCATGTTCATTCCAGTGTAGGAGTGCATGTGCTGCATGCAGTGCTGCTGGAAAATTTTTCCTTCAGTTGTCTTCATCGGGACAGCTCTGGAATTGAACCCACATTGCATGGTATAGAGAGACCTGCCGCCCCACAGTGTCCTTGAGTTCCTTTTTATTTATCATGACAGTTGCTGTAACATACTCATCTCTTGTGTCTAAAAAGTCTTACTCTCAGTGGACTTTAAATAAATTGTAAATAATTATCATTAAGTAAGTATACTCCAGTTCAGTGTTTCTTAAAGTGTGAGGCAGTTGCAGGTGTGCCTCAGAGAACGGAGTTCAAAAGGGCAATGCCTGAACAGAGTTCAAAATGGCTGCCCTTAAAAGGGCAATGCTTGCTCTACTGATAAAAGGGCAAACTTTGTTTGTTTGTTTGTTTTGCTTAACAACTTATTTTTCCCGTCCTTTTTTGTTTGTTTGCTTGCTCAACAAGTTTTTTCGGGGGGCTTTTTCTTTTTCGGTCAACAACTTTTCCCTTGGGAATGGCCGCTTTTAAAGGGGAAAGCCTTTTTTTTTTTTTTTTAAATCCTTGGTGTTCCCCATAAAAAAATAATTGTTTGGTATTCCTCAGTCTTAAAAAGTTTAAGAACACTGCTCTAGTTAGTGTTTCCTGCATCACACTGAGCACTGAGATATGCCTTGGTCCTAGGGTTTCATACAGTGTGTGGTGTGCCACAAACTGGAGCTGGTGAATAAATCACCTGATAGCTGTCTTAAGTGTTTGCAAGAGGTCCACCTTCAAGAATGGTGCAAGATCTTTCGGGTTTTCAAGCTCAGGACTAAAAAGAACGGGAATAACAGACAATTATATAAGAACGGCCTGGCCATTGATAGACCTAACTTCCATGAATTTAACTAGCTTCTTTTTGAACCCAGTTAAAGTCCTAGTCTCCACAACATCCTCTGGCAAGGAGTTCCATGGTTTGACTGTGCGCTGAGTGAAGAAAAACTTCCTTTTGTTTGTATGAAACCTGCTGCCTATTAATTTCATTTGGTGACCCCTAGTTCTTTTACTGTGGGAATAAGTAAATAAATTTTCCTTATTCACTTTTTCCGTACCAGTCATGATTTTATAGACCTCTAACCCCTTAGTCTCCTCTTTTCTAAACTGAAAAGTCCAAGTCTTTTTTTAATCTCTCTTCATATGGGACCCGTTCCAAACCCCTAATAATTTTTGTTGCCCTTTTCTGAACCTTTTCCAATGCCAATATATATTTTTTGAGATGAGGCGACCACATCTGTATGTAGCATTCAGCATGTGGGCATACCATGGTTTTATATAGAGGCAATAAGATATTCTCCGTCTTACTCTCTATCCCTTTTTTAATGACTCCTAACATTCTATTTGCTTTTTTGACTGCTGCTGCACACTGAGAGCATGTTTTCAGAGAACTTTCAGAGAATGACTCCAAGATCTTTCTCTTGAGTAGTTGTAGCTAAATTTAGTCCCCATCATATTGTACATATAGTTGGGATTATTTTTTCCAATATGCATTCCTTTACATTTATCATCATTAAATTTCATTTACCATTTTGATGTCCAGTCACTTAGTTGGGTGAGATCTTTTTGAAGCTCTTCACAGTCTGCTTTGTCTTAACTATGTTGAGCAGTTTGGTATCATCTGCAAATTTTCCCACCTCACTGTTTACCCTTTCCTCTAAATCATTTATAAATAAGTTGAATAGGATTGGTCCCAGGACAGACCCTTTGGGGACCGCACTAGTTGTCTCTCTCCACTCTGAAAACTTACCATTTATTCTTACCCTTTGTTTCTTCTCTTTTAACCAGTTATTAATCCATAAAAGGACCTTCCCTCTTATCCCATGACAACTTACTTTATTTAAGAGCCTATGGTGAAGGACCTTGTCAGAGGCTTTCTGGAAATCTAAGTATACTATATCCACTGGATCCCCCTTGTCCACCTGTTTATTGACCCCCTAAAAGAACTCTAGCAGATTAGTAAGGCATGCTTTACCTTTACAGAAACCATGGTGACTTTCTCCCAACAAATTATATCCATTCATGTGTCTAACTATTTTATTCTTCACTATAGTTTCAATTAATTTGCCTGGTACTGACATTAGACTTACTGGTCTGTGATTGCCAGGGTCACCTCTACAGCCCTTTTTAAATATTGGTGTCACCTTAGCTATCTTCCAATCATTAGGTACGGAAGCCGATTTAAAGATAGGTTGCAAACCACAGTTAATAGTTCTACAATTTCCCATTTGAGTTCTTTCAGAACTCTTGGGTGAACGCCATCTGATCCCGGTGACTAGTTCTCTGTTCCACCTCGGAGCTTCTGTCAGAATTGGCTCTAAGTACTTCTGACAGACGTCTCAGAGAAAAGGTAAAGTGCCATTCCTCTGGCACTGTGAAAGGATTCTGCGCCAATAGCCTGGTGCGCCCATCACTGTTATCTATTACTGATGCACAGGAAACCAGAACGAGCTGCAGGCACCACTGATGATGGTGCCAAAAGGAGAAAAAAAAAAAAGAGGGAGAAAGACTTCCCGATCCTGAGACCTGCAAGCTATAGGGACTCAGAGTGCAAGCTGTGCTGGGCCACTATGAGGTACCAATATGGGCAAGGAGCTCAATGGCACCTTAGAAGGGTGCCATTGAGTCCAGTACCAATGAATTCCTTACCTAGGGAGAGCCATTGTGGCACATAGGCCCTGGCCGTTGCAGGGCCAATTGTTTGTTGCAGGTCCAGCACCATGGGATGCCTTGGCACCAAAACAGATGGCTTTGAAGGAAAGCCCACAATGATGGTATGGCACCGCTGTCCTTTGTGGCACACCTTTCTGGTGCCAGTCAGCACTCCACCACTATGGTTGCCCAGGAGTAAGTCCTCCAGCTTGGTTTCTGGTTCTTACCAGAGATGCCTGGCATAGGATAGGGGCTAAAAGAACAGATCTCTGTCCCAACCCTCATTTGCCCAGACATTTCCCCCTCTAGAGACTCGGCAGGGCCCAAAGAGACCCTTTGAGGATATGCATGAGGACAGTATACTAAGAAAGCCGCCTGATTCCCATATGTCTCTGTACAGATTGTTCCACTCCTACAGGGCATGGACTTGCATTTCCATGGGCTGTTGGGGATTGCACATGGTGGCAGTGTGATATACCCTGCAATTCAGTTGTTTTCCATCCTTCTTCTCCTCCCTTCCTGTGCTCTTCGGAGGCCCTTTTCATGAGAGACTTCTAGCTCAGGAGGTGCAGTTGCTTCTTAGGCATGAGGAATGAAGGAGGTTCCAACAGAGCTAAAGAACTGGTGGTTCCACTCCCCTGACTTTCTGATCCCAAAGACCAATGGTTACCTCAGACCAATCTTGGATCTGTGAAACTTCAACAGATTTATGAAAAAGCTGAAGTTTGCATGGTCTCTTTAGCCTCGATTATCCTCTCTCTGGATCCAGAAGACTGATATGCCACCCACCCTTGACTTAGTATGCTTATTTTCACATTGCTATATTTCAACATCTCAGACAGTACATTATGTTTGTGGTCTACCAAAAATCTTATTCATAAACAGAGCTACACTTTAGTCTGTCAACAGCTCCCCAGGTATTCATGAAGTGCATGGTAGCCTTCCTGAGAAGGAGAGGGGTACAAATATACTCCTACCTGGACCACTGGCTGATCGAAGGTTGATCCAGAGATGAGATGGAGGTGAATGTCAGCTAGGTACAGTCAGTGTTCTAGGATCTGAGACAATTGACAAATATGCAGAAATCAACTCTTTTTTTCCTCAGTTCGGAGAATAGAATTCATAAGGGTGATCCTTGGCTTGAACTGCGTCAGAGTGATTTTCCTGAAGAGTCACCTTATAACTGTAAAGACACTCATGTGAAATCTGAGGATTCACCCTCTCGCAACAGTGAGGAACTGCTTAAAATCTTCTGGAACTCTCATGTCTAATTCACCTTGTCTTGGCTGGCATTGGTATATATACTAGACTGACACCATCTGAACAAGGTTATCTGTTGTCCACCATCAGTGATTTTTTTCTCCTCTATGGTAGTGGCTGGATTCAGAGATGTTGAGTGCAGGCATTCCCTTTTCAAGAATCACACTTATGATATCCCTGATCACGGATGCTTTAGAGATGGGTTGGGGAGCTCGCTGGGGACCCTCAGGACTAAGGATCTCTGGTCATCAGAGGAGTTAGAGCTTGTATAGCAATGTAAGAGACCTAAGGGCAGTACACGTAGCCTGCCAAGTGTTCCCACACC